TTTATTGCTGGCAAAGAGCACTGAGTGCCCAGCCCAGGTTTGTAAGTCTCTAGAGCTGCTGAGAGGTCTGGTAGTTCTAAGATACCTGACAGCATATCTTCATCTCTCTTTTCCATCTACCTTTAGCCAGCCTCCATTCCTCCCTGTCATACCTACACACACCCTTCAGTGCCCCTAAAGTTTCCTTTTCTATTTATATTCTCCCCTGGCCTGGCTAGTTTTGTGTCAATTTGACACAAGTTAGAGTTGTCTGAAAGGAGGGAACCTCAACTGAAAAAAATGCCTCCATAGGATCCAGCTGTAAGGCATTTTCTTAATTAGTGATTGATGTGGGAGGGCCCAGTCCATGGTGAGTGGTACTACCCCTGAGCTGGTGGTCCTGGGTTCTATAAGAAAGAAGGCTGAACAAACCATGAAGAACAAGTCAGCAGGCAGCACCTCTCCATGGCCTCTGCACCAGATCCTGTCTCCAAGTTCCTGACCTGTTGGAGTTTCTGTCCTGTCTTCCTTCAATGATGAACAGTGAGGTAGTGTAAGCCAAATAAACCCTTTCCTCACCAAAACTTTGTTTTGGTCGAGGTGTTTCATCTACTGCAAAAGATGTTCCAATGAGGGTTAAGAGATACGTTGGTCTTTGTATAGAATGACAAGTCATTAGGAGTTGGTTTACTATTATATCCTTTAGCAGAGTAAGAGTAGTTTCTTCCCTAGGGCCTGGGCCTATCTATCACAGGTTCATGGGCCCAATATTTGTATCAGGTATGGGTTTCAATCAGTGGAGTGAACCTTAAATCCAAGAAGAAAGTGGTTGGTTATTCCCATATTGTTCATGCCATTATTATACCAGTGGATGCGCCACTATTGCACAAGTGGGCATGTCTACCAAGTCAACCATTACTGTAGCTGGATAATATAAGTGATTGCTTTTCTACTCCAAGAGCATGCATAGCATCTTCCAGCATGGTGAAAGCTAGCCTAGAGGCGTGAAACTTCCAGGTGAATGCCATCTTGATTTCTCTGTGTTCTTGTGACTCAACTAGGTAGTATCTTCAGTAATACGGACTTACTGTCTGGTTATGGAAGGTAAAAAGCTTTGGCAATCATCTGTAATGTTTGGGAGGGTCTATGGAACTTCAATGGCCAGCAACTCCAAAAGAAGTAACCTATTCGTGGCACTGTACCCTGCTAGCCTGCGGAGTCTAGCAGCGGCATTATTATTCCATTATAGGGTGACTTCATTTAAACTCTTATTACATATGTTTAATGTGCATAATACATATATATTTAGGAAGTTTCTACAGTGGTAAGTTTCTATATGAATTTTTCAAAGTATTTAGAATTATTTACCCCTTTCTCTTATTCTTTTCTCTACCCTGCCCTCCCATTATCCACCCCATTAAGCCCTTCCTGTTCCATTATTTTCCTTTAACCCTTTATACCACTGTGTTCTATCTCCCCTTCCCTGAAGTCCTTCCATCCATATAGCACCTTAATAATTTATTAATCTCTATGTGCATTGCAAAGGAAACACACATATCTGGAGATACAAAACTAACATTCACAAAGGAAAAAAAAAACATAGGACATTTGTTTAGAAATAAAATGATTATTTCAAGTTCATCTACCTACCTGTGAATTTTAGTTTCATTTTTCTTAACAGATGAATAATATTCATTTTTTAACATACCATATTGTTGGGAAATATTATTTTCAGGTGTGTGACTTTTGTTTACATTGCATTTGCTTAACTATGTGAAGCTGTGTTACTGTGCCTGTTTAAAACACCTGATGATCTTAATAAAGAGCTAAACAGCCAATAGCAAGGCAGGAGCAGGGATAGGCGGGGCTAACAGGCAGAGAGTATAAATAGAAGGAGAACTCTGGGAGGAGAGCTACTGAGGAGCAAGAGAACAAGGAGGGGAGGACGTCACGGACCAACCACCCAGCCACACAGCAAGCCATGGAGAAAGAACACAAGAAAGGTAAACAAAAATAGAGAAAGATAGAAGCCCAGAGGCAAAAGGTAGTTGGGATAATTTAAGAAAAGCTGGCAAGAAACAAGCCACCCTAAGGCAGGGCATTCATAAGCAATAATAAGCCTCCATATGATTTATTTGGGAGCTGGGTGATAGGAGCTCAAAAAGCCAAAAGAGCTTAACATCTCACAACACCACATATTCCTTATCTATTCATGGACATCTAGGTTGTTTCCCTTTCCTGACTCTTGTGATTAGAGACATAATGAATGTAGATGAGCAAGTTTCCCGACAATAGGATACAGAGTTTTCCCATTTGTTTTTCTACTACTGTAGAGGCACCATGACCAAGGCAACTTATAAAAGAAAGCCTTTAATTGGGAGCTTGCTTACACTTCAGAGGGTGAATTCCTGACCATCACGACAGGAAGCATGGCAGCAGGCAGGCAGGCAGGGTGTCAGGGTGTTGAGACGAGACAGTACTTCTGATCCACAAGTTGGGGGCAGAGATAGAAAGCCCTGACTTGGCATGGGCTTTTGAAACTTCAAGTGACACACCTCTTCCAGCGAGGCCACATTTCTAATACTTCCCCAAACACTTCAACTAGGGATCAAACATTTAAATATATGGGCCTCTGTGCGCCAATCCCATTTAAAGCACCACCACAGAGTTTTTTGGTTATATGTCCAAGAGGAGTTTAGCTAATCATATAGTAGCTCTCTTTCTAGCTTTGAGAAAAATCTCCACACTGATATCCATAGTGACTGCACCTGTTTGCAGTGAATAACTGTTCCTTTCCTGTGCCAATAAGTTCATGTATATTCCCTACTTCCTCCTCCATCAGATTCGGGGTACCAAATCTTACATTGAAATCTTTGATATACTGGAGTTGAGTTTTATGTAGAATGAGAGAGAAACATCTAGTTTCATTCTTGCACGTGTTGTTAACCAGTTTTGCCAGCACCAGTGTGTGTTGTTGGTCTCTTTGCCAAAATAAGGTGACTGTAGAAGTATAGAATATTGTTCTTAAGATTTTTTTTAAATCTATGTTTATGTATGAGCGCCTGCATGAATGTATGAGCGCCATGTGTATGCCTATTGCCCTTGGAAGCCAGAAGAGAGCACCAAACCCTCTGTAATGCAGTTATAGACCATTGGGAGCCACCCTACTGATGCTAGGAACCATCCACAAGAATAACAAGTACTTTTGCAGCTGAGTCATCTCTCCAGGTTCCTAGATGTGGTATCACACAACAGTTTTATAAAACATTACAGGTAAAAGAGACTGGATCAGAGAATACACGAGATGTCTCAAAAATATTTCTTATTCTTAATGTAAATCCTAAAATAAAAGGTTTAATTTACAAAAAAAGGAGACTATGTTAAAATGCATTTGGGAATAAACCTATAGCACTATATGCACATTATTATAAAAGAAACTATCAAATTAATGTCTGCTTCAACCTTAAGAAACTAAAATGGGACAAACTAAACCCAAAGTAAATTTCAAAAAAGCTCAGAGTAGAAACTTTGATAGAGCTCAGTCCAGTGCTCCTGTGTGGGTCTCTGTCTCTATCTCTATCCATCACCAGATGAAGATTCTATGATGATATGCAAGATATTCATCAGTATTGCTCTAGGATAGGGTCATTTCAGGTTCCCAATCCTCAGCTGCCCAAGGAACTAACTGGGAACCTCATCTTGGGCACTAGGGAGCCCCTCTAGGGTCAAGTCTCTTGCCCACCCTAAAGTGGCTCCCTTAACTAAGAACCGTGCTTCCGTGCTCCCCCATCCAACCTTCCTTCATCCCAATCCCCCCCCTTTCCCAAGCTCCCCCCCATTCTCCCCCTCTCCCCCCTCTCTCCCCATCTCCCCTTACCCCCATCCCACCCCACCCCCAAGATCTCAATTTTCTCCCCGGCAATTTTGTCTACTTCCCATAGCCAAGAGGACAACTATATGCTTTTCCTTTGGTTCACCTTCTTACTTAGCTTCTTTGGGATCACCAAGTGTAGACTCCGTGACCCTTGTTTATGGCTAGAAACCAATTATGAGTGAGTACATCCCATGTTCATCTTTTGAGCACTGGACTGAGCTCCCAAGGTCCCAAGGAGGAGCAGAAGGAGGGAGAACATGAGCAAAGAATTCGGGACCACGAGGCGTGCATCCACCCACTGAGACAGTGGAGCTGATCTACTGGGAGCTCACCAAGGCCAGCTGGACTGTGACTGAAAAAGCATGGGATAAAACCGGACTCTCTGAACATGGCGAACAATGAGGGCTGATGAGATGCCAAGGACAATGGCACGGGGTTTTGTTCCTACTTAATGTGCTGGCTTTGTGGGAGCCTAGCCAGTTTGGATGTTCACCTTCCTAGATATGGACGGAGTGGGGAGGACCTAGGACTTACCACAGGGCAGGGAACCCGGACTGCTCTGTGGACTGGAGAGGGAGGGGGAGAGGAGTGGGGGGAGGGGGAGAAGGGTGGGAGGAGGGGGAGAAGGGTGGGAGGAGGGGAAGGGAAATGGGAGGCTGGGAGGAGGTGGAAACTTGTTTTTTGTTTATGTTTTTTTTTCTTCTTTTCGCAATTAAAAAAAAAAAAAAGAAAATCTCAGGTTCTTCATCCCTTAATGAAAACAGACTCGTTTTTTATAGTTATTCTGAGTTAGCATGTAACATGTTATATGTAAATTGATCGCTCTTTTCCGGTACATGAAAAGTCAAATGTTTAAAAATTATTATATAAAAAAAAGAAACTTTGATAGAATAAAGGTAAATAATAAAAAAATGTGTATAACTGACAAACTTCTAACTAGACTGATCAGAAAAAGGAAACAACACAAGTGAGCAATAACAGAAGCTAAAGAAGGAACATCAACAGTGATCTCAAAGGCAAAAACTATACTAAGAAATTTGACAGTAGTGATTTGAGCAATGGTTATTAATTGTTAAGGAAACAATACACTTTTTGGTTATAAATGCTTTACTTACTTGAATGAATAATTAACAAAAATTAAGGATACATTCGTATAGCACCTGTTCTCGTTCCAATAGCCAAGATTTTCTGGACTGGATCAAAGGCCAGTGCTGTGGGCTGATAAGGAAAACCATGCCGAACTGTCTGAAAGAGAGGAGTAGAAATAGCTGTCAGGGAAGGAAAGATTAAAATCAAAGCAAGACACTATTACATGACCACAAGGATGACTATAATTAGCTTTTAGATGAAAAATGGGCAAAATGGGCACGGAATAACCTCTGAAACATTGTTGGTGACTGGACAAAATAAATTATTTTGTAATCACTTTAGAGAATGATCATACAGTCAGGCAGTGGTGGCACACTTTTAATCCCAAGATTTTAGAGGCAGAGACACGTGGGTATCTGTGAGTTTTGGTCCAGCCTCTCTACAGAGTGAGTTCCAAGACAGGGTTACACAGAGAAACTTTGTCTTGAAAAGAAAAAAGACTATCTTATAATTTGTAAACAAACTAAACATATACCATTTATACCTGTACCAGGCCCTAGCAATTCCACTGCATATGCACCTCAGAAAATTTAAGGCATATGTCCACAAAATAATTTTTTAATTATGATACTAGCAGCTTTAATCATAATAGTAGAAAATCAGAAATATCCCAGATGCCTATCAATAGAAGAATTTTAAAATGTGATACAACCATGAAATGAAATACCATGTAACAGTAAAAAGGTATTGCTAATAGATTCGGGAATATGAATGATTATAAAAGTATTGTGACTAATGCATTGCAATTTTGTGTCCTACTTGTTTCTCTCCCACCTAATTTTATTTTCTATCACTGTCCTACAGTTTAACAAATCAAATAATTCGTGATGATTAAAATTCATTCGCCCTATTGCCCTTTAATAACTTCCTTTCCAGATTTAATTATTTTTATTCTTTTCTGATACTTGATTTGGTTCTTTTACTTGATGTATCTTAACAGTTTTTATGCTGCTACTAACTTTTAGGAAAACCATTTTCTTTTCTTCACCCCCCATTACACAGGCACATGTTCTTACTAAATGCCTATCTCCCCAATAAAGCATAATTACTTGCATTGTGCTATTGCTACTCTCTTACTCTGCCACACAAATCATTTACTCCCTGGGACTGAAATTGTTTTCTTAACTTGCTTAGTTTTTATCTGCTTGCTATTAATTCAATGTCAAATTCTTCCCTCAATTGTCCAAATTTCATTTTAGTGATAAATATAAGGTACATATTTTTAGTGAGGTAAAGTCAGACAATCAAATGGCAGGCAAACAACCTGTAGTGACAAAAACAAACCAACTAGCCATCCTGGGCTCATGAGCAGAAGAAGAATGGGCTGGAGACAAAAGACTCTGAGAGATAAAATACTACTCTTACTATGGTAATAATACCAAAGAAAACTCATTACATTGTACAACTTATATAATTAATGTTATCTTAAGCATTGTAAGGGAAAATATTAATGAACATAAGTACAAAATGCTAAATAAGATATTAGTAATCTAATCCATTAATAAAGACAATAATGAAATGTATTTCAGGGAGCTGGAGAGATGGATCAGTGGTTAAGAGCATTGCCTGCTCTTCCAAAGGTCCTGAATTCAATTCCCGGCAACCACATGGTGGCTCACAACCATTGGAATGAGGTCTGGTGTCCTCTTCTGGCTGCAGACATACACACAGACAGAATATTGTATACATAACAAATAAATAAATATTTTTAAAAGAAGAAATGTATTTCAAATAGTTTATTGCAGAAATAGAAGTATGATGTCATATATAATTGCATCATCTTTAAGTATATCTGAGTATATAGACTACATGCATATACTTCCTATATCTTTATACATATTTGACATCAAAATTAACTTACTTAACCATTTTCTTTCCTTAAATTTTGATCCCTACAGGTCTGAGCTTCAAACTGTAAGAACTTCTATCTATTCACAAAATAATTATATGTATGATACAGAGAAATGAACATAATTTTTATCATGTAAGTCTCTTTACAAATGGTATTTCTCAAAAGGAATCTTACAAGCATGCTGTACTTGATGTCACTACAACCTCTGTGAGCTTATTAGTTTGTGATGCTGACTGGTTCTTCAGATTAATTGCATGATCTCCTTATAATATTTAAATAGATACATTATTGTTGGAAAAAGTAAAAATAAAATGGATTTTCTCTATAAAGCCAAAAGATCATTGGCACTATATTTCTTTTGTATAGAAAAGAAAAAGAAATTTTAGTTTGTCTCTGTTGGATTTAAACAAAAGCTTTGAGAGTAGAAGATGGTGAACATCACCCAGCCGCAGTTGGCTAGAATCTGTGGAGGGTAAACTGCGAATAGTTGGAAAACAGTTTCAATAAGAGGCTGAGGATGGCAGGAAATCTCTAGTTTCAGAAACAAAGAGGAATTATAAACTTGCGAGGCAATAGAGGAGAAAAGTCCAGAACCTGTCCTGGAGAGAGAAGCCTGCTCAGAGAGCCAGAGCAACTGCAGATGGCAGCAAAAGCTAGGGAGCCTGATAAATCTGCAGTGTGCTCTGAACACAGACATCTTAAAGGGAGAGGAGACAAAGGCTGACTGTGTCAACTGCACTTAGCAGAGGGATGAGATACCAAGAAAACCCTCTCCTCTTTGTCCAAGATGGGGGAAACATCCAAACCATTTTCTAAAGAGTCTGGTTTAGTGGACAGCTTGGTAACTCTCCCTGAACCATGTTCCTAGTACATAGAACAAGTATTGTGAGTTTAAAATCCAAAACTTGAACTGCAGAGGGGAAAAGCTTTAGATAAGAACTACACCCTATTCAATGAACTAGAATTGTGACCTAAGTCATCTTAGTTTTATGATTGTTTTTTTGACAGGGTCTAACTACATAGCTTGCTAGGTAGGCCAAGCATGTCTTGAACTCACAGAAATCTGTCTGCCTCTGCTCAAATTCTGGGATTAAAGGCAGGCACCACCATATCCAGCTACTAGTTTACCTTCGGAGTAGAACACAGAGTCCACTTTTGAAGATATCCTTGATCTTGAGAAGCACCCCCAAAGGCATGACCAGCATTCTCAAGCCAACATAAAAAACAGTCCTGAGGTATGACCAGCATCACAGTCTGACCAGCAAACAAAGACTACCCAGGAGGATGCCTGGCATCTGTAATCCTTAAAAAGAATGTCTAAAACTAGACTAGAACAGCACCTAGGTGAGAAATCACATTCAGACTGTACAGTCAAGCCCAGCTTTTTGCTTTCTTTCTGTCTCTTATTTCATGTTCAATGTTAGTTTTCCCCTTTTCCTTTTGCCTTTTGATAGGCTCTCCCTAAACAACACAGGCTGCCCTAGAGCCAGGGACCAGGGTCCCTTCATCAGCCTTCCCAAACCTGTTGATGGTTTTAGATTGCCTGATTGCATTTGTTTACCTTTCTCTTTTCATTCCACCTATACTCCTCCCTTTGTCTCTACTGTCCCCACTTCTATTTGCTTTTACCACCTCCATTTTTCCCTTTCTCATTCTAAAACTAATTGCTAGTCTTACTCTGTACCTTTCTATAGACATTCTAACTAGTATTTTTATACACACAATACTATATTCCTATATTTACTAAATTATTAAAATTTTGAAACTGGTAAGACAGTTGGGTTTTAATTAATTATTGGTGTATTATCATAATGGGCCTATTCTTTGATTGTATTATTTATTCAGGTAGAATTCTGCTCTTGGAGTAATGCCGGAGTTAGAGTGTGCACTGAAGATATGGCCTACTACTAAGATACTACTAAGATACAGTGGGGAAAGGATTATCACAACCTACTGCGACTTGAACATTGCAAACACTTCCACTAAAGAATGTGAGCAATGAAAACAAAATCTAACTGGCCATCTGAACACAGGTACACAATCCTAACATAAACAAACAAAAGCAGAAACATGAAAAATCAAAACACTGCAGCACCTCAAAAAGTTACTAATTCCATAGTAATTTCCTTTAATGAGAGTGAATTTGAAAATTCAAAAAAAAACAAGGCTGGAGAGATGGCTCATTGGTTAAGAGTACTGGTTGCTCTTCCAGATATCCTGGGTTCAATTCCCAGCAATTACATGGCAGCTCAAAACTGTCTGTAACTCTAGTCCTAGGGGATCCAATGCCCTCTTCTGGCTTCCATGGCACCAGGCATGTACATGATACACATATACACATGCAGGCAAAATGCTTATACACATAAGATATTCAACATGTATAAAATAATTAAAAATCAAAACATAGAACTTTAAAAAGAATAATATTAAATCTGTCTTTAAAAAAAGAGAGAAGGCATAAATAGGCTAGTCAAGGTGGTACATGTCTTTAATAACAGCACTTGGGACACTGAGGCAGGCAGCTTCTTCATGAGTTCAAAGCCAGTCTGGTCTACATAGTGAGTTCCATGTTATCCAGAACTACAAGTGAGATACTGTCTCCAAAACAAAATCAAAAATTCAGAAGAAGAGGAACATTAGCAAACTCCTGAATGGATTAAAAGAGAACTCAAGCCAACAACATAATGAAAAAAGGAAGTTGATATAAAAAATTAGAATTCAAGGAGAGAGAAATATTGAAAACTGTAAATGGAAAGTTCAATTAAGTCAAATGATAAACTCAGTGGAAAGTCTCACCTATACAATGAATCAAGTGGAGAAAAGACTATCATAACCAAGTAGATGAATTAGAATATTCTGACAATTTTTAAAAATATAAGTGGGGCATATGAGATTTATGGAACATCATTTTAAAAGCCAAGCTTATGAGTTATGCACATAGATGAAGAAAAATATTATGCTAAAGGGATAGTATAGCAGAAAATTTTTCCTAACATAGGGAAAGAGTCGGCCACCAGGCTAGAGGATGCATTTAGACTGTCGGACAGAACCAGAAATTAACCTCCCATGTCATATTACAGTTAAAACACTAACACAACAAAGTAAATCGAAAGCTGCAAGAGAAAAACACCAACTCACATATCAGCAAACCTGTCAGAATTAGAGCAGGTTTCTCAATAGAAAGTCTAAAAGCTAGGAGGGCATGGAATGATCAAACAACTGCCAAGCCAGGTTACACTACATA